TTTTGTCACCCTCTTTTTTTTCCTTTAGAAAAGAAAAGAGAAAATGTCTTGTATGTCTCCCTTCTGTCTTTAGTTTTCTGTGTTCAGTTCATGTGTAGTCTGTCTGCTTCAAGCTGCTTACTCAGGTAATTTATCTTCTAAACTTGGTCTCTCAAATTGATTTTCGAAAAACAAATCTCCACTGTTGGACACTCTGGTTTTGCTCCACTCTATTCCTGTGTTTGATAAGGACACGTGAGGTCCAGAGTTAGTAGTGGCCATATCGACGAGCTCTTGTTTTTGTACTACTAGCGCTTGGCGTATTTCTTAGTTCATATCTTAGATCTTATTACTGTTTTTCTTTACAATTTATGTTTTTGTTCGCTGTACCTGGGAGCCTGTGTACACAATTTTGTTCCACCACATGTACCACGTGTGATGCAAATAACAAATAAAGACAGTTTGACATGGGGTAGACTAATTCCTGCTCCGGTAAAACTCTATTAGAGCTGCCTGGAGTTCCGATCACTGCAAACACGGTTTTATGATAAATCTACTGACAAACATTTGTGATAATCTGTCTTGCTCCATAACTGCAAATAAGTAAATTAAAAAAATAAAATAAAAATGGGAATGAATCTCTAAAAACCTCTTCAAATTGTCCGAATAACGCCCAAAACAAAACGATGCACAACAAGCTAACTAATTGGGCCATTTGCATAATTTGTTTGGAGGAACTACCGTACTTTGTGGGGCAACTGGTCTTTTTTCTTTTTAGGTGGGGCTTTACTCCAGGCTGTGTCTGATTACAGACGACTTTTGCCTCTGGCATTAAGTCGTGTTTAGTTTGGCCCCAGATTCCTGTGTCAACAGTCACTTTCCAAAGTCTGATCAGATCAAACCCTTCTGGAGTATCAAGCTGCTACAAAATCATACAATTTGACCCAGGATCCGGCGATGTATCAAATGAAACTGATGTAACTTTTTCTATGCGATACTTGTTAAATAACCATATTTCAACCATCAAAATATCAAAATAAATTTTACCCGTTTGCATCTAATTTATTAAAAGTTTAGTTTCTCTCACAAACCATCCAAACTCTTCTGATTGATAGATTTTTGGAGAGCTGAACAAACATTCAAAGTCAACAGTTTGCAAGAAAATAAACAAGTTGGCTGCAGGAAGAAAACACACTTTTTCATTTGGTTTTGGTTTGAAATTCACAGTAAATGAATAAAAAGTGGTTGTGGTTTGTTCCTTGGAGTGTTGCCACCAAAGGAAGCAACACTACGAATTAATGACGCCACCTAAAATGTACTCCGCTTCAAAACAAAGCATGTTTTAAATTCCAGACGTCCACAGGTTCGCCCACAGCAATGAACAGCACAAACCTAACCTGCTGTCAAGCAATAATAGACTGCCTTCTTCATCTGTCAAACCTGTCTCATAGTACAGAAAACTTACAAAAGGAGAGAAAAATCACATCCGCTGAGACAAAGAGCATCGGAAAAGACATGCGCTTTGTTATCGCTGTGAGAAAACCATGATGAAAAAACCTCGACTTAGACTTGATTCAGTGTATGACGGGCATGATGTTTTTCTGCTCATCAAAGGAAAGGTGGAGACTCGTTTTGCGATTTTTACAGTCTCACACTGGAATAATGCGTTTTTGACCGTTTTGTTTTTGTCTTTTTATGCACATTTGTTTTGTTGAATTGAGCTGTTCTTTGAGAAAGGACCTCAAAAATGGGCAGAATGGATGGAAATTATTATTTATTTTTTTGTTGCTGCACAGTTGGAGCTGTCGCCTCTCAGTGAGAATGTTGCCGGATCGAATCCCTGCTTGGGGCCTTTTTGGGTGGAGTTTGCATGTTCTCTCTGTGCATGTATGGGTTTTCTCTGGGTCCTGCAGTTTCCTCCCACAGATAAAAAAAATAAATGCACATTAGGCTGATGGGTAACTCTAAATTGTCCCTAGGTGTGAATGGAAGTGAGTGGTTGTTTGTCTTGTTTAATTCCATGTGTCCCTGTGATGGACTTGAGACCTGTCCAGGGTGTCCCCCACCTCTTGCACAGTTAGCTGGATATAGACACCAGTGACCCCCGCAACCTGGAAAGGAAGAAGTGGGTAAAGATGATGAATGAATGAATGGATGGATGTTGCCAGATGTGACTGTGGGATGATGTAAACGGTACAGTGTTGCATCATGTACACGCTGAGCCTCGAGGGATCAGGATGGATCAGTATCCAGCTGAAATACAGCTCTTATAATGGAGAAATGAGACGCACAGCATCATGACACTTTAAGATGTCTTTGAGAAATATGTTTGTGAACTTGTTCCTTATGTTTCGAGTCAAACTGATAAGTGTTATTTCACTGGTGACTGTTTCTCAGATGTGAAGGCAGATTAAACACTAGACTTGTTCACTTTAAAGGAGGAAATTTAAATTTTTTGGGGGTGGAATGATGTTGTAGTACACTTCTATGTATTGAAGGTTTGCAGCACAAATAATATGAAAATGTTATGTGGCTATATTCCTGCTTATAAAGCAGATATGAGTGTAGTTTTAGCTGAGTTTTATTTGTAGAATGCCTTTTGTCTCACAATCTGTAGAGGAATATTTGCAGCTCATCAGTAACCGAGAGAAAACCTATGGCCTGATGCTGCTTTGGAGAAAATGGCAGTTTTATAATATTTAAAATTTTATTGTGAACAGACTGAGGAAATGTTGAACCGATAAATGAATTGTTGCATTCTATTAATTATTGTTCTATAAATGAAACTGTGATCGACCAACATCTGTATCAGCAAGTCAAATTCTAAAATCAAACTTGCTCTACAAAAATGAGTAGTTCATCTCTGCCAGGTGATGGAGAAGATGACTTTTTTTTTTAATTGTTTTCCCTGCATTTCCTGCTTTTTCCATTTGTTGGATTCATCACTAAAAGCCTGTTGCCAAATTAGACTGCAGTGTTGGACAACTGTGCAGACTGAGCTGATTAAGTTGTATACCATACAGCCCTTTTGTTTCTGGTGTGGAGTTGCTCATATGTTTCCACAGAAACAGTCCAATTCTGTTTTTTATGATCCTTTAAGTTTCAGTGATGCACGTTTCTTGCTAAATGTTGCTGTTGCAAACTGAATGCAGCTTAGCTTGATGTCTCAGTTTATGTTTGAAGACAAATTTTTCGCACTTATTCAAGGATATTTTGTTAAAGGATATTAAAGAGGGCATGAAATGAAATGAGTGTTGTAAAACTGATGGACATGAGTTATTGGGGTGTGGGTGATTGTTTTTAGTTTAGTGGTAATACCAACACGTTTATTGTCATGGATATTCACTCGTAGGATGCAGAGGACAGCTATTATAACACGCCTTTTAAAGCGACTTTATTTTAATACATTTTAAGCATGTTTTTTTCTCCCATAGTCTTTGTTTGTTGCTGTTGTTACCTCGGGGACCAACGTTTCGATTCTGCCGTTCCTGCTTGGCTCCTGTGAGATCCACATGCAGAAATGTTGTCATTGACTGAAGATGTTGCAACATTCTGTCCAACACGTTTGTACACGAGTGACATAAAATTTACTGCAAGGCAGTTTACATTGGAACAGTGAAGATGTGTTTAAAACAATATAATTTAGGTTTGCTTTGTAATTTATTTTTATTCAACTGTTTAACAAAATGTTTAGTTGACTGACGAAGGATTTGTGGCTAAATGTAGGTTTAACCTAAATTTAATTTAATATATCAGTGTTTTTAAAATCTGATGCTAGAGCACACTCAGATTAAGTTGTCCATCTTTGACACCCCTTAATCTGTCTCTGAAAGCAGACACTGTCCCTGTTTAACGACATGACCCCAATTTCTTTGTTGAAATAATCTTTGAAAGCCATCTGTCTCATTGGCTGAGGCAAAACAGTCAAATGTTTTCAGCTTTTGCAGCCCTGTCTCTTGTCTTCACTTCCACTTGACTCTGCAGCTCATTCCAAAAAAATCTGAGCCGAATAATTTTAAAATTGAAACAAGGGTGGCGTCCATCAGCAGCAGGTGTTTGGACAGCAAACGAAGCGCGGCTGACTGCACGCAGAGATGATAAATGTCACTGCGCCTCTCTTTCAGATCTGCGTGTTCCTGTTCACGTGTCTTTACATGGTGTGCTACCTCATTCTCACCCACTTCAAGAAGCCTGCTGAGTTTGTCACAGGTGAGTTTTTACCAGAGATGTTTGTCCTTCACTAGAAAGCTTTGATTAAAGGCTTGCAGAGAAATGCCTCAAGCGAGAAAAACAACAACGCTGACAAAGCATACTGGTTATGTTAATGTGTTGCTATTTCTTTCTGCTGAGTGTGTTGGCAACATTCTTTCCATCCAGGAACTCCCTTCTCTGTTCGCGTTAAATCTCTTTGTTTCTTTTCTGTTCGATGTTCATTGCGTTCATATTTTTGAGGAAACTTTGCACACTTGTTGACAAGTTTTCTCTTTTAACAGAAGGCTGCTGGAGCTCGACTAGAAACGTTCAGAATTAAAGGGGAATGTTTTACGTGCAACCATTTGCAGCCTGACTGTGGATCTGGGTGCTGGAGGGTTGTAGAACTTTTAAAAAAAAATTTTTACGAGCCAAACGGTCACTTAAGGAATAGTTCAGATTTTGCCTGCAAATTCGCTCGTTGTGGTGACTCCTTAAAAAGGGAGCAGCTGAAAGAAACTTCGTATTATAAATAATAAATAGCTTGTGTGTTGTAGGTAGCTCCTTCATGATGTCAGTTTGGAGAAACATTTATTCTGACCATATTGACAAGCTAAAGGCTGGTCTGAGCAGGCCAAGAATAGGTGGATTACTGATTACTTGTAAAACTTTGTCAAAGCAGCTCCTGGAAACACTATTTTTAAACATTTTTTTCACTGTCAATTTGTCTTTACATGGCAGAAACATTGTGTTCCTGCAGGAAGTGCTACAGCTAATTAGCTGCTGCTGCTATTTGCGCTTGCAAATAATTGTAAACTTCAACGTAAATACTTGTGTAATTCAACACTGACAGCAGTGGAAAAGTTTATAATTCATGTGAACTGCTATGAAATGTTGATAATGAAGTTGTTTTAAAATGGCTGCGTTCAAACTAGCTGTTCAATAATGTCAGAGAAAATCTTTTATTTCTTCAAACTGAGGTCAATCAAAAAGCTTTCTACAGCATGTAAGATGGTGTTTATAGCAGAGGTGCCCAATACATCGATCTACCAGTCGATCGCAAAGGTATAATGGGTAAATCGCATGGCATTAAAAAAATAGACGTCATCCTCACTATGCAATTTGTCACTTGATTGACATACAGGGCAGCCAATCTGAGGCCCAGTTTACCGTACATGACGTGAAATTGCAGCCTTTCTGCTGCAGTTCGTCCGTTCATTTACACAACAGTCCTCATTCGCTCTGAAACCAAATGTTTCTGAATCCAGGTCTCAGAGTGGAGATTTTAAGGTGGGGGGGGACCCCCCCACGGAGGTGTGAAGTTCTTTGTGTGTGAAGTCACACATGCGCAGTGCGCACTATAGGCAGCTGCAGTCAAAAGGTTTTTCTGCACTAACAACAGTTACAATAAATGACAGCATGCAGAGTGTTTTTCTGTTACTCACCATTTTTCAGCATGTAGGAGCAAAACATAAAATCCAGGGTCCAAAGAGGCGTTAGTTTATTCATTAGTTTGTATGTAACTGTGATCATGCAGACGCTGCATGCACAATGAATGCAGCTGAGCCCTGCATCAGGGTTGCCAGATACATTTAAAATGTCTTAAAAACACATCTCACACCTCACCTTAGAATATCTTTACTCAGCACATATGACAGTTTAGGTCAAAATACTATAATTTTAAAGCAACAGTACTATAGTTGTATTAAATAAAAAGGTTAAATCGTGTCGTCTGGACCAGTTTCTTTAAGCGAGAAACGTTTTGTCCCCTGTCCAGAGGACTTCCTCTGTCTACGGCCTGCCAACCAGCTCTGTCCCATAGGTAGCCTTCACCGCTGTTTCAAGCCAACCTCCTGTTGGAATCTCAAAAGTAGGCTTTTAACACCTGCAAAACACACCCATCCAAAAAGATCAATCATCATGTACAACAATCAAATGTTAGGCCAGGTGGCCAACTTGCTACTCTCAGAAATAACCTGAGACCAAAGTGGTTCAGAAAACGGGTTGCAAGTTCAATCATCCAAGTAGATAACAATTTAAAAAAAGGTTAAATTGTGCTTTTTTTTAATCTACTTGGATGATTGAGCTTACAACCATTTTTTAAAAATAGTTCATAATTCCTTATCTGGCAACCCGACTGACATGGAAACTACAGCGTTTTTGTGTAAACCCACTCGTTTTTTTGTTTATTACCGCCAATAAACATAGAAAAAACACTTAACGTTTCCTGAGGTTGTTCTCGTGTAAACAGGCCTAAGTATGGTAGATCACTTTGACTTGGTCATTTTAAAAGTAGCTCGCATGCTGAAAAAGTGTGGACACCCCTGGTTTACAGCATAGAACAGAACCCCACTTCTTAAATTCCCCTGAAAAAATAAAACTGGCACGTAAAACTACAATTATAAAACTGTTGTTTTTCTGAACAGAAACAGTGTTTAGATTTTATTAAACCCTTGGCCTGCAAGCAAACATCCCTTGGATGTTTTAGATGTTTTAGTTAAATTAAAACAGTTTAAATCTCTGCTGTGACTGTGCTGATTTAAAGCAGATTGGATCCAATAAACGGATACTCTATTGTAAGCAGATGTGGTCATCTGTCTGCTCCACTGTGGCTGTGTCCCATTTTATTGTGTGGCTTTCTGGAATCCCTCCAAGTATATAAGCCCACTTTTATTGAAATCTGTGCATCAACAAACTGGAGTTCAGCCCTGCAGCTAAACGACAATCGTGCAAATCCTCAGCACGACATGTTTGTGACTGTCAGTTACCAAGAACTGGTTTTTCCTCCTCAGGCGTTTGTAATAAACCAGATGTGAGAACTCCTGCTGAGGAAAATGTTACAGTATCACATACTTGTGTAAAAATATCACTTTATCGGTTTTAGCTGCATCATATGTTTAGTACGTTGCAAGATATTGAGCTGGTTTTTTGTATCTCCAATCTTTTTCTATGTATTTGCTGAAATGGTCTTGGTCCTGCATGAACAAAATGTTCTGTTCTGTTTGTCTCTACACCCCTCACTCACGCCCCTTGGTGAGCTCACAGAGACTTCAGCTTTCTTCAGCATGTGTATAGTGCATAAACCTGTCTGTAACGGCATCTTTTACCCGTGTCATGACAACCTGCCTCAGAAAACTTCAGATCACAAACTTGTCAACACAAAAGAAGGTTGAGTTTTCTTATTAGTTTGTCCTTTTTCTTTCAGATGATAACGAAGATGCCACCGTCAATAAAATTGCGTAAGTAAAAAATCTTTAATAATTAACCAGCTAGCACCGGGTGTTGTCGCTAAGTTAGGTGTCAACCTGAATGACTTTACAGATACTAGTCAGCATGACATGAATAGTGATCAGAGGTCAGCTTTCAGTAGATTCATTGCCCTCAGCGTGTTCTTTTGACTCCACCGTCATTCTGTACTTTGCACCATCACGTTGGCATTCATGCTCTTTACTTTTCACTGAGGCTGATTTATTCAGCTGAACACAACCATACAGATTTATTAAATTTTTTTTTTTGCATTTGCTTTTCTAGGCTGTGGTTGTGTACATTCACCCTGTCTGTTGCAGTGTGTGCTGTACTGCTTCTTCCCATCTCTATTCTGTCCAACGAGGTGCTGCTCACCTTCCCACAGAGTTACTACATGCAGTGGCTCAACGGCTCTCTTATCCATGGTACCTTTTTTTATTAGTCGACGGCTTTAATTAGCTAAAAGTGATACTGTTAAATAAATAAATAACTGAATAAAACCCAGGACATGGGTGGGTGATGAATTCCAAATCAATAGCTCACTTGGCCTGTTTCCAAACTAATAATTTTTATAGATGGAATCACGTTGGCCTTATAGAGACACAACTAAGCTTGAAAAGGTGCAGTAAATGCATGTAGGTTGCTTATGTCTCTATTTACAAAACATATAAATGAAACTATTTAAGCTTAAAATGCCGATGCATTTTTATTGTGAAACTAGAATGAAATCAGGCTTGTTGTCCATGTTTTATGTAAGAATACATTATATTGTTCAATCTTGTTTTCAGTTTTTATAACTGTGTTGCCTGTCAGTGTAACGCCTCACAGTGGGTAATAGTGGTACTGCTAGGACTTTTTTTTTTTGTTTTATTTGTTGTGATTCTGATTCATCAAAAATAACAGGATCGTTTTGTCTCTTTCTCATCAGGCTTGTGGAACCTAGTTTTTCTTTTCTCCAATTTGTCTCTGGTCTTTCTCATGCCCTTTGCCTATTTCTTCACCGAGTCTGAGGGATTTGCAGGATCTAAAAAGGTGCCGGTGTCTTATCAGCTTTCAGATTTAAAAGCCATTTAAAGATGTAGTTACAAGAGGACCGCTGCACTGAATCACCTGTTTTTGTGTAGGGAGTAATGGCCCGAGTGTATGAAGCAGTTGTGCTGCTGTTGCTGCTAGCGCTGCTTGTGCTGGGCATTGTGTGGGTGGCATCAGCCCTCCTCCATGACAACATCGCACGAAAGAGCCTGTACGGTGAGTCACATCTATAGATTCCTTATGGAGTTATTAAGTAGTTTTATTAATCTTGCTTGCGTTGTTTTCTTTGACCTGCAGACCTGTGGGAGTATTACCTTCCATACTTGTACTCTGGCATCTCACTGTTCGGAGTGCTGCTGCTTTTGCGTTAGTACACCCACCATGATCATTAGTTACTTAAAAAGGATGTTGCTGTCCAACTCTGACACACTGACCTGGGTCTTCTCTCTTCAGTGTTCACCCCCTTTGGGCTGTCTCAAATGTTCAGTGTTACAGGCAGCCTGCTGGTCAAACCGAGGGTAAGTCACATGTCCAGAATTAAAGGACTAACATGCACCAAATACTAGTGTGTACAGCTTAGCTTTCAATGTGATGCTTCAGAATCAGTTTACTCACTTTAAATCATAGTTTTTAAATACATTTTCACTAAAAGAAACCAGGAAAAAAAACAAACTAAAGCAGCGAGTTGTATTTCCACACTGATCCATCTTGTTGTGTTCAGCTGCTGGAGGACGTAGAAGATACACTGAGCTGCACTGGATTCGAGGAAGACTCACTCTACAGGAAACTCAACTGTAAGGATGTGACGTTTATACTCTTTGTCATTTTTATGACCCAACTGTAAACTTTCAAGGACTTTTTGTGTGCCGTCTGTCTGGTTGAAGGTACCACTGCATCATGTTGGGTCAAGCTGAACATGGAGGCTATGAGGAAAGAGTACGAAACAGTCCAGAGCAAACGTGTCGCTCTGGGTAAGACTGACTGAAGAAACCTCTTTCTGCAGTATTATCAGTACACCGTCACTCGTTGCTCATTTGTTGTCGCTTTTCTTTCTTCTTTTCCCCAAAGAGATGCGTAGGAAAGCATCTCCATGGCAGCGAAACCTGGGCTATCCACTGGCTATGCTTGTTCTCCTTGCACTGACGGTACACAATGACCACATTCATAAATTCTTTTATGCAGTAACACATGTTTTAAATGCCATTGCTGCTTGTCTCCAGGTGATGTGTGTACTGATGGTGTGTTTCAACGTGTTGGAGTTGCTGCTTGACGAGACGGCGATGCCCAGGGGGATGGAGGTGGGGAGTTTTGTTTGGAATGACATTTTTAAACACTTCCTGCTGAGCAGCCAGTTATCGGAGAACACTGATCGTTGGTGCTTTTGTGTTGTAGGACCCTCACCTGGGGATGGCCTCTTTCTCCATGTTTGGCTCACTGGGTGCTGCAGTCCAAGTGGTCCTTATTCTGTATCCTTTAAAGAGCAGGCCAGAGACATATCTCAGTTTTCCATAAATATTGGACCGTTTCTGTTGCTCACACCCCTTATTGGAGTTGAACAGAGTTCTAAAATTAAAGCAGTTTATAATCTAATAACAACCATCGTTTATTATCTGCGTTCCTCTTCATGTCCTTGTTATCCTCAATATGAATTTCAGTTATTTGATGGTGTCCTCTGTGGTGGGTTTCTATAGCTCCTCTCTGTTCTGTGGTCTCCTGCCAAGAGTAAAAGACACTAACCTCACACAGGTATGTCGCAGAATGCTCCTGCGTCTATTTGGACTCGCTGCAGCTAAAACCAGAGGTGGTGTTAGGATAGTTACCTCTAAATTTGTGTTTCTTTCAGATCATTGCAAACTGTGTTTCTCTGCTCATCCTGAGCTCTGCACTGCCAGTCTATTCACGCACACTTGGTAAGGACGTAAACTAAATGACAAATTTAACTTGTTAACATTATTGCCAGGTGTCAGTTCTATTTCATTTTAAAGTATGTTTTTAGCATGGGCTGTTCAGGTTTTAGGGCCGGGCATTTAAAGCAAAATGTTGTGTTTTGGATTTTTCTTTGAATATTGAACCCACCCGTCTGTTTCTGCTGGGCCCCACCTACTAGCCACAGCTAAAGGCACAAGACTTGCTTGCAGTAATTTCTGCTCCTCATAAAGCGGGCCCGTTTCATTCTTTACTCATGCAAAGATATTTTCAAGATTTGACCCCCAAAGTCTAAAATGAAAAACCCCATCGAGATGATAAAACTCTGGCCTGAAAGGTGGTTTGTAATGGGCATTCCTTTAAGGAATATGAGGACTTTGATTTTAATATGTCATTTTATTCTCTTGAAGTTTGTTGGCAATTTAGGTGTAAAAAAAATAAAAATAAAATAAAATTCTATCACTACAAAAAAAATCTCTTTTTTTTTTTTCTTGTTTAGCAAAGAAAGAAAAAAAAAAAGGCCATTCTGCAAAAACATGAAAAATTATACAAATTACTATTATTAAATTATTCTATGGGATACTTTAGGCCGGGTACTAGGAATGTGTATTTTAAGCAATAACACTTGAAATTTGTCAGCAATTTTTTTTTCCTGAATATTTGGACAAGCCCCACTTACCAGGACCATAGTTTCCACTTTATAATCATTAAAAAGAAGAAGAAAAACTACTATGGCTGAAAGATGTTAAGAATTCCCATGTTTTTCCCCCATGTATTAATATTCTTTCACTCCAACTGGAAAAGAGTCATTCAAAAACAACTTGTTGCATCACTACCAGGTGCCAGTGTTTAAAATAAGACATTCTTGACAGCGGCATTGTTTCCACTTTCACCATTTTACCTAGACTTACACAAGCTGTTCAGTTCCTTTTGTCATGAAAAACCATGAAGAGCTTGACTTTAAAATACGCAGCTGATACAATATAACTTGTATTTATGTATTAAAGTGTATTTGAAGACACTGTTCAGCTCGAGCATTAAGGTCCTGTTTGGATATATTTTATTTTGAAGGTTCAGCGGCTGCTGGCCTGTTTTCAGCCTGTTATCTTGCCTACGTGCCAGCCATACTGCTAAAGTGTTGCTCCATAAATAAATTAGGCTGCTTCAGCCAAGCAGACAGTTTAAATTGATCATCTTTATTTTGAGGGGGGGTCCAGAGGTCACTAACCAGGACCTCCTTTAAAAACCTGTATTTTATCAATTTAGAGTTTTTCTGAGTCACTGGCTCTGATGCAGCTGCACCAACATTTAATCTGATATCAGAAAGCACACAGGCAAGGATTATTTTTGTTACAAACCTTTTTATTTTCTTACTTTTGTAAAGATTTCACCAACTATGAAAACACATTGGTTACTGGGGTATGTTGTTTACAGGTAAACAATACATTTTGGATCTCTGTTGTGCAACCATGAAAACTGAAGAGCTGCTGACTAACTGGTTTGACTTGCAGTTACAGGAGCACCCGCAAGAGTGCAGATGAATGTCATGAATGTTTGAGTGACCACAGCCGAGAGTCATCTGGAGCAGCTCGTTCACAAATGCTCTGCTTCTCTTCCTTTCTCTCAGGAATCACCAGCTTCGATTTACTGGGAGACTTTGGTCGCTACAACTGGCTTGAAAACTTCTACATCGTGTTCCTTTACAACATGCTGTTCGCTTGCCTCACGTCGGCCTCTCTTATAAAGACGGTCACCTGGGCGGTGCAGAGCGAGCTCATTCGGGCCTTTGGTCAGTCTACTTCTAGTTTTTGAATCGCTCACTGAACAATACGTTTTTATATTTATACGTTTTAACGTTTGTGGACTGTGATTAAATTAGTTATATTTGGACAGCTGTGCCTTAAGTCTCCCCCACCTGGGCCCCGTTTCCTGACGGGGCTGGTCTCTCTTCCTCAGATAGAAAGAACACAATTCTTTCAGGAAATTGTAGAGACGAGAGGAGAGTCGGGTCCTGTTGGGGACCTTTAGGCACACCGCCCTGGACCCCTTGTGTTATAGAAACACCCTCAAACCTCTACCAACTACACACACATGGCATTTCTCCACAAAATCAGCTCTCCTGCACTTTTCCATTATTTCACAAATTACTTTTTAGTGGTTAAACGACATCTTTCACTTAAATCAACATTTTAATAAAGCTCTGGAAGTTTATTGTTCTACTGTGTGAAATTTTTTTTTCTCCTCTCAGGGCTCCACAGGCTGCCTATAACTGTGTCACGGCCCACCATCCCGTTCAGACTGCTCCTGGCCAGTGGACTGTCTAAAATCCAGTGACTTCTATTCTCTGGAACATTTAAACACTGAGCCATACCAAGTGCACCTCCTCTTGGAATAACGGGAGCATCAGCTTGGTCTCCTGGCTGGTTCTCAGGTGGTCAGGTCTTTCCTGAATGACAGGATGGGTGAAGACCACAGGTGTCTGTGCTGCGTCCGGTCAGAGATCAGCTTTGATGCTGGATCCAAGACCGTGCTCCCATTTGACTGGAAGCACCACTGTGAGCTGAGTCATCACAGACATGATCAGACAAGGAGGGGGGAAAGGATGGAAGCCATGCTGGCAGTCCTGCCACACAGTCACAGTTATTCTGATGTATGTTCAAGCTGTTTTTTTATCCTCCTTCCTGTTTCAGATTTACTGACTGTTTTTTTTTTCTAAAAGGCTTCCTAATAAATTACTCTTAACTGTTTTAAGATTGGGAATCCTTTGCTTCCATGGTCTCGGGATGCGTTTTGTAACAAAGTTTAAAATGTGAGTGGGAAGACACACTATGCTGTCAGTTTTTTTTTTATTTGTTGAAGTGCCTTTTAAATTTTTATTTTTTTTAAGGAAATGTAATTGAGATTTGTTTTTTGTTCAGGTTTTTTTTTTTATTTTTTTTACGACATTAAGCCTACTGAATGTGACAAGTTGGGAATGAAACCATGTAATAAGTAATCAGGACAAACTCCTGCATTAACCAATCAAACTGTGAATCCTTAAGATGTTTTTTATGGGACTGTGCAATATCTTGTTACTGTAACCTCTCATTTTTTTAATTTTACCAAAAGTCATTTCAGAATCCTCTCGTTTGTTTGCATTTGTTCATTCTTTTATGTTCAGTATGTGAGATAATTTCCTGATTCTATTTTTATTTTTAATCAGATGTCAATCTTGACTCTTTGATCCTGCAATCTTTCCAGTTTTGTGGTGATAGCATAAAATGTGTGTTATCATCATCATCATCATCATCACCGTGTGTGTGTGTTTGTGGTGACCTTGTGTTTGTTGCAGCTGCTGTACCAGCAGGTTCTTGGTGTGACCAGCAGGTGGCAGTGTGTCTTAAACCCAACACGAACCTTTATGTTCTGGAAGGTTCTCATCTCTTGTTAAACATTATATAATGGAAACACTCCAGGTTTACAATTGCGTTGTGTTTTTCTGGGAAAATTTGTTTGAATCGAGATGTTAATGTGTTGTTGTTGTTAACCTTTTTATGGATATTTGGGGATCCATAAGTGACATTTTTTATTAGTTTTTAGTAAGAGTTAAGTGTTTGACATAAGAGGATAAATATATATGTATGTCTATATATGTGTGTGTGTGTGTATTTACATATCTATATATATATATATATATATATATTTTTTTTTTTTTTTTTTCTCTCTCTAATATACAAAACATGTTTATGGTTTACGTTTGGAATGGTCTGGTGTTTCACGTTTTCTCAAAGTTGATTTTCTTTTATCTTTTTGAAATGTCACAGTGTTGTGAGGAGAAGGCAATAAACCTGTTGGTGTTCTTAACTTTGTGTCTTTTTGGGTGCACATCAAGGCGCCTTTTACTGTAATTTCCTTGATGCTTGCTACATTTTACAAAATGTATCAAGACTGAGCTGGTGTGTTTGGGGGGGTGGGGGGGGAGGTCATCTGTCCTGTACGTCCCTCCACCCTGTTCTTGGACTTTAATCAGGAGCAGAAGAAAGCCATATTTTGACCCGTCTGTCAGCAGTGTCCACCCACGACGCCACTCGAGTCGTGGCCCACGCTTTCCCCGCTTCGATGCAAACGCCAGATTAAAAACCAAACAAAAAAAAATCTCTCCTTGACACCCCCACCTCCTTTCTTCTATTCCTTTTCCTTGCCTATTGTTCGTTTCCTCTCCTCCTTTTATCTGAAGTCTGTTCAACAATCCCCCAATTTCTGCAGCTCTGATGAATTTCTCCCTCTTGATTTTTTTTCTTGTTTGGTTTCGTTAGATGTTTTAATTAAGACTATTTGGTTCAGCTTTTGTTTTGCACTTAGCTTCCTTTAGCTCAAAAGGAAATGAACTCCAATGCCACCGTACCATTAGCGGCACGTCGAGACGCTCCGAGGAAGTGACACATCAGATAAAAGGTGTACTTTATAAAGAAAAGCCTACGTATTGTCTGGCCTAATAAAGAAAAGAGAACTTGTACAGAGCTAATCAACAATTAAACACTAAAGCTATTGAAAATAATGCACTTTATAAAGCTGGAAAAAGAGTAAAGCAAACTTGTAAAGGAAGCTTTAATTCATGCTGCTGCACTGAGGCCTCTCATGCATTAAGTCTAAAACATGCACATGAATGCTCCTATAACCAACACATGTTTAGACTTTCCCGTTTTAATGAACATCTCAGGTTTGCTGCATAAAACATGAAATGTTTTTTTTTTTTCTCCTCTAATGATAGCTAAAACTTGGCCTGGTGTGACCACAAAGCACATCTCTGTCAGGTGAACCTTGAATCAGAAACTGCAGCATTTCTGCAGCAAATACAACTTCAGCTTACATTTCTGGAGGCAGCAGCTGACAGTAGAGCTGTTCAAACCCTTGTGAGCAGACTGGCCACAACAAGACGTAGCCCAACTTGAACACCAGAAGTCAGAATCGGTCCGTGTTCCCAAACCCAAGAAGCTTTTTTCAGCGTTCAAATTTATGTGCTGTACCAAATGAGCAATTTTTTCATTTTCATCTTGCGGAGTTTGGAACCAGTGGCTCGGCGGGTAGAACAGTTGCCTCTCGGTGAGAAGGTCGCTGGATCAAATCTCAGCCTTTCTGGGTGGAGTTTGCATGTTCTGTTTGTGCATGTGTGGGTATGGTTTCCTCCCACAGACCAACAACATGCGTGTTAGGCTGATTGGTAACTCAACTGTCCCTAGGTGAGAGTGAGAGAGTGAATGGTTCTTTGTCTCTGTGATGGACTGGAGATGTGTCCAGGGTGTCCCCCGCCTCTCACACAATGATGACTGGATATGGGCACCAGTGATCCCTGTGACCCAAAAAGAAAGCAGGTAAAGATGATGGATGAGTTTGGAACCATCTGTTGAACCACCTATTTTAGTGATTCTGTTCATTTGTCTGCCTGTTAGCAAAATATCTCACCAACTACCGAATGGATTTGAATGAAAAGTAATCAACGGATGTAAAACTACAAACTGATTAACCAACAAAGTCCATGTTCAATAATCCAGGTATACAACAGTTTTCAGTCAGGCCATCTGGACAGTTTCAGCACACAAAAAAAGAAACTGTCCAGATGACCTGACTGAAAATTGTTACAACTGATTAACTTAATCAAATGAATCATAACACAAAAATGGCTATAATTCAGTAGATTTTACAGATTGGAAAATATAATCTGGTGGTGTGGTAGTAGCTGAGAGGGATCTCCATCACATGCTCCGAGCACCAGCAGTTTGGACTGGAGATTTGTTTGAAACTTTAAACTGCCAGGTGGCTTGCTATACATGTTCCTTCAAAATAATGTTTTTATTTTTATAAAACGCTTTGTCACAAGTTAAGGACATGCTGAAGATGATTACTTTGCTTGTTAAACAGGTTTTAATAAGTTCATAAATTAAAGTTTGAGGGGGGTTTTGTAATAGAGGGTTGTGCACACATATACAGCGTTAACGCAAACATTACCCTTAAATTGGGTCTGTGAACAATCTTTCTTTTCAGCAAACTAAAAGGTCAAACGCAGTTCAGTGAGAGTGTCCACTGGTCCCAGTGGGTGACACACTCCATGGGACTAGATGTCAGGCATGTCAGGAACAAGGCGGGAAACTGGCAGCTTGTAATGGGATGAGATAGGCTATCTTTATTGTCAAAACACACGAATGAAGGGGGGAAAAAGACACAGATTAGCCTTCCTGACAGTCGGCCTGATTGAAGTACGAGCCAAAGTGCATTAGAGGCTATTATTCTCTCTTTTCTGCACTTGCTAATACAGAATCACTCAGGAAAAGGCGAGACTTGCTTGCTAATCAACTGATAATGGGTCTGCACTGTCCATTTTGCCGTAGCCGCCCGCCATCCGGTGTGCACGCTCGCGGCACACTTGCTTCACACGACGCAGTGCCTTTGTTTTGCCGGGAAACTCCAGCATGACTCGAGGAGGAACATTACCTCAGTTTACTTCAGCTCTGTAGAAAACTGTCAATCAATGGATGGGTCGGGCTCACGTAGTAAGGTATCTGACCTTTGACCTGCTTCTGTTCGGTTGTCCACTGCAGTGCAGCCCCGTCTTATTGTCTGAAACACATTTAGCGAAATGTAATCGGATATGCATTTTACGTAACTTGAGACCCAAAAGCACAAACTGATTGGTGTATTGGTGGATCATCCAACTCAAAGCCAAACTAGAGAAATTAAATTTCCTGCAAAAATGCAGTGATAGCTTATTGCTGAAAATAGCAAACAGCCAAAATTAGCTAAAAACATGCTGAAATGCAACTGAAATAGAATAACAAGCCTAAGTTAGCAGAGGAAAGCAGAAAGAACACATTTGCTGAATTAGGTCTAAATAAACAGAAATAAGCACAAAAATTAGAAAATTAGCTTAATAAGCTAAAATTAGCAAAGAAATAGCTGAAAAGCAGCTGGAAAAGCAGAAGGACACTTAAACAACTAGAAGAAAGTGGAAGGAGCTAAAACAGGTGGAAAAAAGTGGAATTAGTCAAAAGAGCTAAATTTAGCACAAAAATGGCTAAATAAAAGCTGAAATAGCAGAATAAGCTGAAACTAGCAGAAATAGCCTGAACGGAGCATAACAAACTAAAATGACCAGAAAGAATAATGTGGAATTGGCTGAAAAAGTTAAAATTAGCATAAAACAGCTAAATACTAGCAGAAATAGCAGAAATTGAGTTGAAAGTAGCAGAAATTTCCAAGAAAAACTTGAATTTATCTGAAAACAGCTGAAGTTGGATACAAAAATGTTATGAAAAACGCTAGTTGAAAAGCTAGAACAAGTGTACGTACATAAGTAGAAGGAAGCAGAGAGCAGAATTTTGCTCAATTAGGCCGAAAGAAGCAGAAATTAGCACAAAAATGTGGAAATTATCTGAAAAAAAAAGCTAAAATTAGCAATAAACAGTTAAAAGGTAGCTAAAAAATCCAAAAGAAGCTTACTGGTAAATTACCAGAAGAAAGTGGAAAGAGCACATTTTTGCTGAATTAGGCTGAAAGAAATTTAAATGAGTGAAAAAAATGTGGAATTAGCTGAAAAAATTTAAATTAGCATAAAACAGCTAAATGGTAGCTGAAATAGCAGAAACTTGCACAAATAAGCTGAAATTAGCAGAAAGAAGTTAGAAGAAGCAAAACAAAAAAATTTAGTTAGCGGAAAGAATCTGAAAGGATCACAAAACAGCTGAAATTATCTGAAAGTAGCTGAAAAAAGTTTCAATCTGCACAAGGACTCTGAAATAAGCTGAACTGGAACAAAAAGTGAAAGGAGCAGTAAACAG